AGGTAAGGGGGGGGGGGGCTCAGTTGACCCCCCCCCTTTTCTGTATTTACAGGCATTTGGCTCATTCACCTGTACACATGTAAGCACAACAATGGTGTAAGCTAGGTTCATTGAAATACATTCATTTTTCTTGCATATGCATTTGTACTGCATTCAAAAACATGCTCAACTGTGTCTAATGTAAGCAAACCCTAATATCTATATCAGGGGTCTCCAAACTATGGCCCTCCAGCTGTTGAAGTACGACAAGTCCCATCATGGCTCTGGGAGTCTTGCCTGTGGCTGTCAGAGTCTTGCAAGGCCTCATGTGACTTGCAGTTTCTTAACACCTGGAGGACCATAGTTTGGAGACCCCTGATCTAGATCATCAAAGTAGCTTTGGAAATAATCATGAAGTTACATTGTTTTAGCACCTGTTACTTTATCTACTCATTTGGGTTGATTTACTAAAGGAGTAGAGACTGTTCACCTAAAGCCTCATTGCAGCCAGAATAAAAAAAACAAAACACAAATATCAGCACAAGGGACAAAAGTTAGTCAGTAGGATGTGTCCCTTGTGCTGCTGTAATCTTTCTGGTGGGGGTTAATAGAACTAAGGGGTTGTCACAGGCCCTCACCAAGAAAGCCCAACTGCCCACCCAGTGCAGCCATTCATAAAAGCCATACTACAGCTTTTATGAATTAAATACTGTATGATATATGAATAGAGGAGGCAAACCTATGAATCTTCTACTTGTCCTCCATTCAAAGACAATATTTTGGTCAAAGTAGCTTTAGCACGGGTTCTATAATTGGAGCAGCTGGGTGGAAAGGGCTGGCATAGTTGGGCTCTCTTCCTGAGCACCTGTGACAGAAATCATCACAAGGGACACATCCTACTAGCTGTAAGTAATGTCCCTTGTGCTGTTTATTTGTGTCTTTTATTTTGGCTGCACTTAGGATTTACCAAAAAATGTTCACTGAGCTTACTAAATAAGCTATGTTCATTTCAATCATGTAATAATAGGCAAAAAAACTGTTCTTTTTTTGTAATTACCTTGCTTGATTGGTTATTCAAAGTGAACATAGCTTCACTTTATTTTCTGAGCTTAGTGAACATTTACAATCTCTATTCCTGTAATAAATCAACACCCATTGTCTGACAATGTGATCCCATCTTGATAGAAGCTCTAGGAAACCTGAACAGTGAATAAAACTTTTAGTGTTTTGCTGTTTTAAACTTTCTTGTTAGTATGCAAACATTTTAATAATTTATATCTGGATTATTATGTTCTTTTATGTTCATGTTTTTAACATATATGCAAATGTAAAAAAAGCCTTATATTTGTAAAATATTTCAGCATGTGCTGCAGCAACTACATACTTTTATTGATTTGTTAAAAGGACAAAAAGCAGAATTTTTTTTTAATAGAGATGAGTGAGTATTATTATTATTTATTATTATACAGTATTTATATAGCGCCAAAAGGTTTGCTCAGTGCTGTACATTATAGTGGGGGACAGTACATGAGACAATACAGTAACAATACAATACATGAAGGGTTCGAGGGCCCTGCTCTTTCGAGCTTACAATCTAGGAGGGAGGGGATAGTGGAACAGGAGTATTGAAATGCTCTCCATTGGTGATTTGCTCACAAGTTCTTCATAAATCAGAAAATCTGGATAATAGCATTTGAGGAATGATTCTCAACTCCCTTAGTAAATCATATCTAATGCAACAAATATCTATATTTTTCAAGTAAGGGCCACATTAGTGCACTAAATTAAGAAATAGGCGTTTGGGTCTAAACAGCAATGTATTCTTTTAAAGCAAGCCTCTATATTTTCACAACAAATATATTTCTTGCTCTAATGACTCCTGATATGGATAGTCAGCTCCTGGAAATAAAACAGTAAGGCATTAAAGAAAAAAAACAGACTGTTTTCCCTCAAAAAAGCAATTTTTCACTAAAATGCATTTTGGGTTTTTTTCACTTGCAGGGGTTTTTTTTTATAATAATTTTGGAAATAAATTGCTAGCTCCTGGAATTTAAGCCACAATATACAGTATTTTGAAAAAAATGTCCTAAATTTTTCGAAAACGAAAACAGACTTTTGTAGAAACAACGTTTTTAAATTTAAAAGTAAATAGAGCTCCTGGGCCTAAAACAATGTTTTTGCACAGGCTAATAGATGTATATTCTAATATTCTAACTGTATTTAGTATACGATTGACATGGATAGGCAGCTCCTGAACCCATAGCACCAATACATTTTGTGAAATCAAGCCTTTATTTATCCACAATAAAGGTGCAGAGTGTAGGAAGCCGAGTTTGAAAATACATTGTACCTGGGCTTAAAACAGATATGTATTTTGTGAAAACAAAACCTGTATTTTTTTCTGGATTACATGCAGATTTTATGGCACTGAATCTGATATTTTCAGCTCCCAGCAGTCCTAATGCAGCAGATAAACATGCATGTAAATATCCATTGTAGTTTTTGTATTTTATTAATTCAATTCCCTTGAAAAAAAAAGAAATACAAATATAAAAACAACTCTTGTAAGACAATGCCACCAAAGAAAGTTTTGGTTGACTTCAAACATATTTTATCACTTGGATATACGTTGTTGGGTTCAAAGTTATTGGTGAATAAATAGGGGGGAACTTATTAAAACCGGTGCACTCAGAATCTGATGCAGCTGTGCATGGTATCCAATCAGCTTCTAACTTCAGCTTCTTGAATTAAGCTTTGACAATAAAACCTGGAAGCTGATTGCTTTCTGTGCAGAACTGCAGCAGATTGGGCACTCTCCAGTTTTAGTGAATCTCCCCCATAGCTGAACTGTAAACAATTCTTTGGTCTATCCATGTTATATGAGCTCCTAGAAACATAGAAGAGTAACTGCAGAAAAAAAAGACAAAGTGGTTCATCGAGTCTGACTCATTTAAAAAAAAATGTTTTGCTTTGTTTAATTCTATATATTTGAATGCTGTACCATTATGATAGCCCACGGCCCTGATTAATAATATTCTAGTACTTTGGTGGAAGACACCCTCTTTTTGTGAATTCTGGGGTGGGACGCCTCAATACATATTCCTATGGATGAGTTTAGTCTTACCCAGGGCATTTTTTCAATTGGAACATGGGGGGGGCGCTGTTCCAGCACCTCCAGCACTGAATGTATGTAATAGCAAGGGATGCTGGGGTGTGCTGGAGGGGCTATTGATGCTGGCTGCTGGGGATCTATTGTCACTGGAGGGGATCTAGGTCTGTTGTTGCTGGTGGGGGACCTATTCTTGCTGGGCGTGGAGCTTTTATTCAGTAGTATTTGATCACCTGTGCAGTTTTTTTTTTATTTTTTTTGCGCTATAAACAAAAAAAGACTGACAATTGTGAAAAAAAAACTATATTTTTGACTTTTTGTTATTAAACAGGTCCAGTAAAAAAACTTTAATAATCACATTTCTTCATAAAGTTAGGCCAAAATGTATTCTGCTACATGTCTTTGCTAAAATAAATCCCAATACGTGTAAATTAATTGGTTTATGTGAAAGTTATAGCATTTACAAATGGCTGTATGTCATGTTTCACATGACTATCATATGCCTTTAAGTGTTTTCTATATTTTGTCTCTGCTCCTCCCTTTCCTTTGGTTTAGTTAATGCAGTATAGATAGCCCTCCCCTTTTCCCAGTAAGGCATTACAGCTTCTAGCCTCATGTCATGAAGCAGGTCAGATTATGATCTTTTGACCTATCAGATGTTCATTGTTGTAAGATTATCGCTATCTCATCAACTGTAAGATACAGAGATCACACTTTCACTGCTTAAATTGGAGAGACAGAACATTGTATATATACACTGGGTTTTATTTTACTAGTATTGGCGACGATCAGCGACTTGTAGCGGGACTACGGTGGGCATTCTGACACTGGGGGTGGGGGGGGGGGGGCTGACTTGTTGTCACTGACATCCCATCCCCAGTGACATGGCACAGTACAACAACAACAAACAACGTACGAGGGGTAAGAGGGCCCTACTCTTACGAGCTTACAATCTAGGAGTGCTAAAATAAAGCACTGACACTGTAAAATTGCTGTCAGGGCTCCGGGGTGTGACCAGAGGTATGTGTGGACTGACGCAGGGAAACGCAGGCTTCAGATAAGTTATAAACAATATAATTTATTAAGGGACTAACAATACAAACATAAACGCAGTGCAACACTAAAACATAACACAGTGCAAACGAACCAAACCAAACCACCCACAGATAACAGTACATACAATGCAAAAAGTGGCGGCGATCAGGCAGGGCCGGGTCAATAACAATCGGAGCAGGTAGGTACAGGGGGTCAGGCAGAGAATGGTCGGGTCACAAGCCAGGGATGAAACAGGGAGAAGTCAGCAGAGGTCCGGATCAGGCAGGGTCAGCAACGAATCAGTCAGACAGAACAGGAACAGGAGATGCAGGTAACAAGATACAGGGCCCCCAGGAAAACACACACACCAGGCCGAGACTGCAGTCTGGCCATCCCCTTAAATACACCTGCATGATCAGCTTCAGGTGTTTGCTGCTGCAGGGTTGAGTCTCTGATTGCCGGGAGCACGGACCCGCCATGGCCAGCCCTGGTACTGCAGCCCACAAGGCAGGTGAGTCCCACCATTACTGGCAAGTCCATTCCTGACAGTAACCCCCCCTCAAGGAGCGGACTCTCAGGACGCTCCAAGCAGTCCTAGCTGGGCAAAATGTTCCACCGCCCGGGTCTGGTAACTGGCGGGATATCAAAGACTGGCACATCGGGCAGGACTCCCAGGCAGCGGCCACACCGGGCTGGACTCCAGGCAGCGGCACACCGGGCAGGACTCCGGGCAGCGGCACACCGGCAGACTCCGGCAGCGGCACAATCCGGGCAGAGGCACACATCGACCTGACTCCGGGCAGAGGCCCACATCGAGCAGGACTCCGGGCAGCGGCACATCGGGCAGGACCCAAACGGGCAGGTGCAGCGGCACAATCGGGCAGGACTCCGGGGCAGAGGGCACATTGAGCAGGACTCCGGGCAGAGGCACATCGAGCTGGACTCCGGGCAGAGGCACATCGAGCTGGACAAACCGGATCACCAGGTGGAGCAGCGGCGTCCGGGCCCCCAAGCAGGAGCAGGCAGAAGGCATCGGGCCCCCAGGTGGGGTTGACAGGCATTGGGGCCCCTGGGCGGGGCGACAGGCATCGGGCCCCCAGGTGGAGCGCCGGGCCCCCAGGCCGGAGCGGCGGGCGCCGGGCCCCCAGGAGGGGCGACAGGCATCGGGCCCCCAGGCAGGGCTGATGGGCCCCCCAGGTGGAGCGGCGGGCGTCGGGCCCCTCAGGCGGGGGCAGGCACCGGGCCCCCAGGAGGGGCGGCAGACACCGGGCCCCAGGCGGAGCGGCGGGCACCGGGTCATCAGGCACGACAACGGCCATCGGGTCACCAGGCATCAGGTCATTTGGCTCGCCAGTGGGCACCCGTTAACTGCGTCATCTGGCAAGGCAGTGGGGCACCGAGTCACCAGGCACGACAGTGGGCTCCGAGTCACCAGCACGACAGTGGGCTCCGAGTCAACTGGCATGACCGCGGGCACTGGGTCAGACATTGGATCGTCTAGGCTGACAGCGGGCATCGGGTCACCAGGCATCAGGTCATTTTTGGCTCGACACTCGCGGGCACCGCGTCATCTGGCAAGGCAGTGGGCACCGAGTCACCAGGCACGACAGTGGGCTCTGAGTCAATTGGCACGACATCGGGCACCGGGTCATCAGGCACCGGGTCATCTGGCGCTGGATCGTCTGGCTCGACAGCGGGCATCTTTTATGGTCACCAGGCATGACCGCGGGCACTGGGGTCATCAGCAATGGATCGTCTGGCTCGACAGCGGGCCATCGGGTCACCAGGCATGACAGCGAGCACTGGGTCATCAGGCATTGGATTGTCTGGCTCGACAGCGGGCATCGGGTCACCAGTATGACAGTGGGCTCCGAGTCAGCAGGCCATGACCGCGGGGCACTGGGTCAGACATTGGATCGTCTGGCTCGAACAGCGGGCTTCGGGTCACCAGGCATCAGGTCATTTGGCTCGACAGCGGCACCGCGTCATCTGGCAAGGCAGTGGGCACCGAGTCACCAGGCACAACAGTGGTACTCTGAGTCAATTGGCACGACAGCGGGCACCGGTCATCTGGCGCTGGATCGTCTGGTGTCTCAACAGCGGTGCATCTCGGGTCACCAGGCATGACAGCAGGCACTGGGTCTCAATCACGGTACCAGATCGTCTGGATCGACCCCCCATGCGGCACACGGGTCATCTGCGGCAGCTGATACAGATCGTCTGGTCACGAGCAGAGGGTCGATTGGTGCACCAGGCATGGACAGCGGCAACTGGGTCCAGCAGGCATTGGATCGTCAGGCTCAAGACAGCGAGGGCAACACGACGTCCACGTGGCAAGGCAGTGGGCATCCGAGTTCACGCAGGGCACGACAGTGGGACTGCTGAGTCAATTGGCACGACAGGCGGGCACCTAGTGTCATCAGATACCATGTTGGGATCGTCTGCTTGACATAGCAGGACACTCTGTATACATCTTGGCGCTGGATTCGACTGGCTCGACAGCGGGCATACGGGTCACCAGCATGAACAGCGGGTCACTCGGGTTTCATATCAGCGTTATAGGAACATCCATGGGCTAGGATCAGTTCATCAGGCTAGGGTACATGATCATACAGCGTTTTTGGAATAAACTTGCAGGAATTGTACTGGTTTATTGGGACAATAAAATTAGCGCATTTTTTTCTGGTTTTTAAACTACCTGGGAGCACAGCAAGTAAACGCAGGTCTGTCGATAACGAACTGGAGGCAGCTGAGGACAAGAGAAGAGCAGTGAAGATAGGCGTACAGAGGAGGGAGTCAGTTTTAGCATACAGAGGGACCCTTCCCGTTACAGTGTTAAAGAAAGGATAGGTGCTTCGAGAGGAGCAGAGTGAACTGGTATGTGGTAGTTATAGTATACTGGTGCAGTCAGCTGGGGGGCTGTCACGAGCGTGATGCAGGAAGAGGTAGACCAAATGTAAGTGGAAGGAATGATGTTAGGTAAGCTGACTGAGGCTGGGTGGCAAACAAGTACTGTCCCATCGTCTGCAGTATGTGTTGAACAAAGCTCCGCTTACACAAAAGCCTGTCTGGTCAAATGACTGCACTGCGTTTATACAATCTCTTAGTACCTGTGGTGAACATGCAGAACAACCTTCAAGAAAGTAATCCACATCATCCTCTAATATCCATACCAGGGACTCTACATTGTCGGCACTAAATGGCGGCAAAAATTCATTCCTGCATCGGGGGGGTGCCAGATGAAACCAATTCAACTCAGCACTAAACCAGAATCAATGGCTGCACCTCAGAGAATTACTGTGCCGGCTGATAGATCTACTAGAACATGAGCGATCCGTGTATACATTCTAGCAGTTGATCCCCAATATTTTATGGGTATACTTCCTTCAAGTCTGATTAAGCATATTCTCTGTCATCAAACACTAGCAGAGAAAAAATACACAACCTCAAATCCCGAGATCCATCTTCCCAGCAACAATGCCAAGATGGCCTTGTCCCTGTATCAGGCCACATCTGGTCAGCGATTGGCCTTATGGTGTAATGTCAGGGCTCCGGGGTGTGACCCGCCAGAGGTATGTGACCTGACCAGCAGGGAATTCGAGGGCTTCAGATAAGTTATAAACAATATATAATTTATTAAGACTAACAATACAAACCCACATAAACGAATGGACAGTGCAATACTAAAAACATAACACAGTGCAAACGAACCAAACCAAACACCCACAAGATAACAGTACATACAATGCAAGTTGCACGTCGTCAGCAGGCCGGCGTCAAAAGCAAACGGAGCCCAGTGATAGGTACAGAGGGTTGAGTCAGGCAGAGAATGGTCGTGGTCACAAGCCAGGGATGAAACAGTGAGAAGTCAGCAGGAGGTCCGGATCAGGTAGGGTCAGCAACGAATCTAGTCTAGACAGGAACAGGAACAGGAACAGGTGGATGCATGGTAACAAGATTACAAAGGGCCCAGGAAAAACACACACGCAAGGCCGAGTACTGCAGGTCTGGCCATCCCTTAAATACACCTGCATGATCAAGTGCGTTCTAGGTTTTGGCTGGCTGCAGGTGTTGAGTCTCTGATGGTAGCCGGGAGCACCACTCAGCTGGCCATCAGCCTGGTACTGCAGCCCACAAGGCAGTGGTGCGAGTCCCACCATTTACTGGCAAGTCCATTTCCTGGACAATTGCTCTGGGCAGAAAGGGGTTAACAGGTGAGGCAATAAAAGGGTTAACTGCGTGCTGTTTTTGACTAGTGTGTGCTGTGTTTGACTTTACGCATCTCGCGACGACTGCTTTTTTATGCTCTGCTTTGCAAAGCCATACAAAGCAGTGTGCAGGAGCTGACATTGGAGAGGATTGTATTGTTTTACATTTACAGGTCTCTCCCCATTGTAAGATATATGGAGATTGCACGGTGCGAGCTGGTGACGGGACTCCACCAGCACAGGACCTGGATTGATGTGACAGCTGAGGCCGCGAATGGCCCGCGAGGGCCGCGTGTGCGCTCCCTACCCTACCCGAACTGCAAAATCATGTATATATACGTGATTTTGTGCACCGTCGTGCTGCCATCTGTAGCAGAATTTTCTGCTTATAGGGCAGCGCAGAAGGGGGTTCCGCTGGCTGAAGGGAAATCGGCATAGTTGTTGTGCTGCTTGGGTATTTTGTTGTAGGGGGTCCATTGTTGCTGAAGGGTGCAGGGATCTATTGTTGCTGGAGGGGGTCTGTAGTTAGCTGTACTGTGTGATATCGTATTGATGCTGAGAGAGGTTGAGTGACTATGAGTTTCTGCTGCAGGGATCTATTTTTACTGCTTTTCTTGTTATCATTAACTAATTCCATATATGCAAATTACTTAGCGGCCACAAAATTATACTTGGTTCTGTATTCTCTGAAGGGCAGTACTGGCAGGTGGGGTAGGAGTGGAGCCAAAATAAACAGTGCTCACGCATGTGGGTAGGAGAGGAGACCAAAGAACAGTTGCTCACAGTGGGTAGGGGAGGAGAAAAGGGGTTGTCTTGGAAAAAGAGAGTTCCTGCATCCCAGGGGCGGAACTGACAAACTCATGGGGTGTCCCCCAGGCAACTAGGGGATCATGGGCCCCTGTGTCCTTTCCCACACTCAAACCACACCCAAAAAGAAGTTCTATGAAAGGTACCAGGGGCATCTCATAAGGGGCTCCTACGCCATACACCCCGGGGCCCTCGGGCAGCGCTCGAGTTCCTCAAATGGTCAGGTCCGCCCCTGCCTGCACCCTATTCTCTGAGAAAAAAAAACCCTGGTCATACCTACAATATAATGGTTATGATACCCCACAGTATTTTAAATTATTGTTTTAATCGTAAATAAACTAAAATTGTGGAACTTATTATAAAAAAATTGTGTCCTATTAGTGTCTCAAAGGTTTGCTGTGTTCTTTTTTTTTCTTGTTTTGTTTGGCTCTAATAGATTTGAGATACAGCCTCCATCCTCACAAAGTAATGATTGTCATAACTTGATTATGCCTCCATTAGTCTTATGACCGCCAGGCATCAGTGGGGGGACCTCTGACATGAAGAAGCACTATCAACATGGCCACCTTCACACAGAGATAAAAGATGCTATTTACTAAAACTGCATAGTGCAAAATCTGGTGCAGTTCTGAATAGAAACCAATCAGCTTCCAGGTTTTATTGTCAAAGCTTAATTGAGCAAGCTGAAGTTAGAAGCTGTCTGGCTACCATTCACAGCTGCACCAGATTCTGAGTGCAACATTTTTAGTAAATCTCCCCTAAGTACAGAACATGGCATGGTAAGTAAGTAATGAGAAAAAGATCTGCAACAGGGAGCCTTCAGGAAATACCAACAACTAACCTTTGCTACAATTCAGGTCTTCTTAAAGGAGGAAGGAGCATCAGAAAAATGTGCTACATTCTTAATAAAACAGACAATACATCTTTCTGTTAAATATTTTCAAAAATTCTAAATTCTTCATGTGTAATACATTTGGAGGCTTAGTTATCATAAGGAAAGTTTACCTTTAAACACATAGGCAGGAGTAGCCCCAGGGGTTAATAACATCTGCTGTAATGCTCTTTTTCCTGCTGGTTTGTTAGTGGTTGGTTGCTGAGCTTCAAATAGAAGGATGTAATTGTTGCAAGGACTGCAGTACCCCATTGTGGGACCCTTCAAAGGAACTAAGGACTTGGAATATTCTGGAACAGACCTGTAGGGGGTGTCTCACCCCAAGAGAGGTACATGCACTGCAGCAGCTCTGAGCAAATTTGGGAAAATAAATGTTGTATATTTTACATTGCCATTATTTGGAACTGTTGTAACATTGCTAAACCTTTAAATAAAATGTTTAAATTGCACCGTGTGGTCTGATCGGTGTCTTTTGTGATGATCTGGAACAACTGGAGTGATGGTTCCATGTCAGAGTAATGTGAGTTGTGGGGAGGAGGCGTGACCAGCTTTGGATGGGAGCTGTGGTGACTGAGAAATAGAGGGTCCTGATGGTGGGGTGGTTCAGGAGTTAGGGTGCACCTTTTCCCCTCTAACCCTTCCCCCGGGGCAGCTAAGCTACTACTAGATGGTTCTCAGCCATGGTATGGGGCTGGTCCTAGGGACTTGGCCTGCAACCACGTAGAACTTAGGCTTACCAAGAACATTGGAGTGGTATCCTAGCCTTCGGGGGAATTCTGTAAGGAACTTTATGTTAGTAAGGGCTGTTGGGAGAACTAATGTTATGCAAAGTCTCTCCCAAATTGTCTCTGAGGTGGTGTCAGGACTAGGATGTCAATGGCAGGAAAAGTAGGGGGACAGTTCCTCCCATTGCTTTCCTGTGGCTCCACAATGTTAATATGTCCTCCGTTCAGAAGAGGGCACTAACCTGCACATTTAACACATTTTAGGTTCCACTGTGCACTTTTCAGCCACTGTTGCATCATAGTTATTGTGTTTGTTTTAGTGGGCACTTTGCATTCTTAGTACAGTATATATTTTAGTGAATGAATAATTCTATTTATGAAGTTCTGAAGTTGGTTTTTAGGCTGCTTA